ATAATCTTGGAAAATTGGCTGAAACCAACATAACATTGTTAGTAATGATCTTTAAGGTACATAATCCTAAGACAGTTATTAAATTCAGACTAATAGCTTTATGTAATGTCACTTATAAGGGTGTTATAAAGACTCTTGTTCATAGATTCAAAAGAGTTTTGAGTAGATTGATATCTCCCTTTTAGGCAAGTTTTATACTTGAAAAGAATGTTCAAGATAATATTATCATTGTAAAAGATGGCTCATACGATGGATAGAATGCCAAGCAAGAAGGGTTATATATTTGGAGAAAGTAAATAATAGGATGAGTTAGAGTTTTGTTATTGGGGTTCTTAATGAAATAGGAGTTCCTAGTCATATTGTTGAGTTAATAAGATATTGTTTTGACCACTATTCAAATATTAGTCTTGCAAAATGGAGAAAAAGGAGATTGGTTGCAACCTATAAAGGGTGCTAGGTAAGGAGATCCATTATCTCTATATCTTTTTGTGCTTTGTATGGAGAAACTCTCTCATATTTTTTCTAATATGGTTAATGATGGTAGGTGGAAACCTTTAAGGGTACGAAGAAGTGGTACACCAATCTCACATTTTCTTTTTGCTAATGATTGGCTTCTATTTTGTAAAGTTGATGTAGGTTAATTAATTAACATGTTGGATTGTTTAGATTTGTTTAGTGAAATCTCTTGCCAGAAGGTAAATAAGTCTAAAACCAGTATATATTTCTCAAGAAATATACCCAAAGTGAAGTGTAATAAACTATGTAGGATCTATGGATTTCAATATAAGGGGGAATTAGGTAGATATCTAGGTGCTTTTATTACACAGGGAAGAGCTTCAAGAAATAAATTATATTTTTTCATTAACAAGGTGTAAAATAAGCTTTATAGATGGAAGAAATAGTGCCTATCTCTCACTAGTAGGATAACTCTAGTATAGTCAGTATCCTTTCAATTGTCTACTTTTTCTATGTAACAGTCAAATCCTTATGGGAGTTTGTGATGAAATTGAGAAAATCTAAAGGATTTTATTTAGTGTTCAACTAAGGAGAAGAGGAAGCTTCATGCTGTGAGTTAGGATGTCATTTGCTTGCTTAAAGAGATAAGTGGATATGGTATTAAGGATATGAGAAAGATGAGTGCTGCTGTAATGGCTAAGTGGGATGGAACATGTTGGTGAGACCTAAAAACTTATGTTTTAAGGTGCTTATTAACAAGAATAAAAGGGATGCTAACTTGCTAAAAGGGCATCATGTTAAGGGCTCTAATTCTAGTTTTAGAAATTCTTGACAAGTTGTTGGCTAAAAATTATGAAAATGTGGTGTAGGATTATAAAGATGGGAGTAGGATTAAATTCTAGCAAGACTCGTGGTTGAATGTAATACTAACTTGCTTGATTTGTCCTTTAGAAAACTTGATAGCAGATTGATTGATTATAACATGTGAGATATGGTGAATGAATATGGAGATTGGGAATTCTTATATCTAAAGGATTATCTTGCTGATAGTGCTCTCTTGCAATCGAGAGTTGTTCCATACCCTCAACCTGGTCTTGGTATTGGCTTGCATCAAATAGAAGGGTTCTTCTTCTAATGAGTACTGTGTTGCTAATATGTGTAAATACATGACCAATGTGATAGGTATGATTATTCATAGCTTTTAGAGGAAAATTTAGAAGTAGGGTAGAACTAAGAGAATCTAGGTTTTCCTTTAGCTTGCTAATCATGATAGATTATTAACTTCTTACATAAGGGTGAGAGTATTAGGGGCTCTTCTATTTGTTGTAGATATGGTTCAGTTAATGGGTCTATTCTACATGCTAGTTGTGATTGTGCAGTAACTAAGAATATTTGAATTTCTTGACGATAATTTCTTTTTGTTATTGGTAGAGATTGGTTAAGGAAGAATTTAGAGGGAAATGGTGAGTGTAATATTGTTTTTGCTGTAACTTGTTAGTTTCAATAAAATTGGAGAAATAAAGTTCTTTTTTAGGATGAGTATAATATTGTTTTTGCTATAACTTGCTAGTATAATATTGTTTTTGCTTGTATTATCAAGTGATATGTTTAGGAATTGAATAATTTGAGAAGTTGTTGGGCTGGCTTGAATCAAACTAGAATAGAATCTTTTATTAATTGGGAAAAGCCTCCATCTGGTTAGATAAAACTGATTTTTGATGAGCATCCAAAGGTATGTTGAATCTGGCTAGTTATGGTGGGTTATTGAGAGATGATTGTGGTAATTAGATTGATGGTTTTGTAAAGAGACTGGGTGCTTGTTTTGCCATTGATGCATAATTATGGGGCATTTTGTAGGGTTCTTGTGGGTTAAGGTTGGTAAGAAGGATGGGTGTGGAGAAATTAGTTTTTGAAGGAGATTCTACCTCGATAGTCAACATGTTAAAGAATGTGTAGGAGGGGAATGAGGTTTGCAGGTCACTACTTATGCTGATTCGTTTGGAAATGTTGAAGATTGACAGATTCAATTCTAGCATATATTTAGTGAGGGCAACCAAAATGCTGACTCTGTTACTAACCATAATTTTCATTTGAGTTTGAGGCTATTTATTTTGTTGAGCCTCATAGTAGTTTGATGGATTTATTGTACAATGACAAATTAGCTACTGCTTGCCTAAGAAAATATTGCTGATTGAATAACACACAAGAAAAAAAAATATTAAAAATATCTTACATTTTTTTAATATCCATTCTTTGAAAAAAAATGCCTTGCAATTTTGATGAAGGAGTAATTTAAATTCACTTTAATTTAAGGATCTTGGGCTTTTTTCCTAAATATATTTGCCTTGTGGTCCTTCTTATCAATTTTCCATTCCTCACATCATTTGTTTTAGGGAAAATGACAAAAAGGATTTAAAAGGACTAATTAATTCAAGTTAGATTTCAAGTACCAAATGTCAAGAATTTATAATTCAATCTCTCAATTTTGCAATTGTGTTATGATGAATTTACAATTTATTTTTTAAATTTTAACATAGTTGAAGAATAAAAAAATTATTTTTTCTATTAAAATTAAATTGCAAATTTATTACAATGAAGCTGCAAAATTAAAAGATTGAGTTGTAAATTCTTAAAATGTAATATTTGGGATCTAATTTGAATTAACTGGTCCTTTTACTATAAGTTCTAAACTTATTTTTTTGCACTGCCTCCACATACTCTTTTCATATATAAAAGTTAAAAAAATGTCAATATATAAAAATTAAAAAAAATAAATGTCAAATTCTGTCTACAATAACTAGATAGTTTCCCGTGCGTTGTACAGTTAGAATTAAAGAATTTAAAACAAATATCATCAATACCATTAATATCGACACATTCGATATGGCTAAATTTTTAAGAGTTTTACTATTCAATTATTTTTTTATTGGATATTTTATTTGCACACGTATTGTCTTTATTTCTCGAGCTATAGTGAAAAATTTATTTATAAAATACCTGTTCTTAGAGTACTTAAAGAATATTGGCCCCAAAAAACACTTCTTTAGAATTCTCAATAACCCCTCATTTTTATTACGTAAAAAAAAATTAGATACTAGTTTATGAATTATGATATAAATTGTATTTTCGTAAGTATAGATATAAGAAAGAATCCAAATGATCTCTCTCTTTTTTTTAAATTGTATTCCATTCTTTTGAATTTTTTTATTTTCTATTCTTCTTCTTTTTATGTGCAAAATAAAAGGGCTACCAAAATGACCTCTACCACTCAAGTTTTGTCTATTTAGAGTATTTAACTAGTTGCCGTGTTATGTTTTCGGTGCGGAATGTATGGTGAAACATGCACAATTTGAAGGGCTAAGACCATGAGATAAGGATTGATAATCCAAATCAAACCTAAACTTTTTTATTTTTTTTTTACTAATAATTTTTATGGATGATAGTTGCTGAGAGTTGATTAGTATTGAATATAGCGAATTATGAAAATACATAAAAAATAAAAAAGAAATTAAATCTCATTGATTAGAAAAATTGAAAAGGCATGAAAAAGTACGGCAAATGCAAAAGAATAGTCGGATGGAGTTAATGCTAACAATCAAGAAAATTTAAAAATAAGACTGCTTTTGAATCAATGTTCTCATGAAAGTAGATTGAAAATATATAAAAAAAATAAACCTCATTGATTAGAAAAATTTTAAAGGCATGGGTAAGTATAGCAAATAGAGAAGGATAATTAGATGGAGTTAATGCTAACAATAAGAAAAATTTAATAATGAGATTGCTCTTGAATCAATGCTTCTGTGAAAGTGGACTGAAAATATATGAAAAATAGAAAGATAAATTAAATCTCATTAATGAATCAAAAAAAATTTTTATGTTAACATTAGCCTAAAATTTATTAACTAATGAGAGTCATTTTTTAAAATAGGATTGCTCTTGAATCAATGCTCCTGTGAAAGTAAATCAAGAAAAATTAAAATGGATTGCTCTTGAATTAATATTTTTGTGAAAGTAAATTAAAAATATATGAAAAATAAAAAATAAATTAAATCTCATTAATTAAAAAATTAAAAAAATATGAAAAAGTATAATGAATGAAAAAAGATAGCCGAATGAGCTAATAAATCAATGCTCCCGTGAAAGGGGACTAAAAATACATGAAAAATGAAAAAATAAATTAAATTTTATTAATGAATTAAGAAAAATTTTTATATTAACATTAATCTAAAATTTATTAATCAATTAGAGTTAATTTTGTTGACCAATCAGATTGAAGTTATAAGATTTGTGTATATGTACATTGATGATTGATATTGATTTTGATATTGATTAATAATATTGATCTGACATACTTTGTTATAATATAAGAGAAGATAGGATAAGATAATTTCTCATAAATTAGTTGTTTTTTGGGCCAGGTAAATTTGAGTTATATGTATAATAATTCTCATAATTATTATTTTTAAATTTTACCAATAATTAGTGGGCATGCATTAAATTTCGTTTTTATAGGCACTGGAACATATATTAACTATTAACTCTCACTAAAATGACACAAAATCTGTAATCTTGAAGTATCTCCTGCGAGGTAGTCGCGCGCTCCGGAGTCCGAGACTTGGCAAAGCCAACTCGATCCACCATGACCGGTGAGGCCCCGGCGGCTGCGCCCGTAGCCCGAACAAAAAAGCTCAGTCTCATCCCTCTAATCTTCCTCATATACTTTGAAGTAGCCGGCGGCCCATACGGCGAGGAGCCAGCAGTCCAAGCTGCAGGACCCCTTTTGGCCATTATTGGCTTCCTTGTCTTCCCTTTCATCTGGAGCGTCCCAGAAGCTCTTATAACTGCAGAATTATCCACCGCCTTTCCCGGCAACGGTGGATACGTCGTCTGGGCGGAGCGTGCTTTTGGCCCTTTTTGGGGCTCTCTTATGGGCACGTGGAAATTCCTCTGTGGCGTCATCAACATTGCTTCATTCCCTGTTCTTTGCATTCAATATGTCGAGAAGGCAATTCCCGCTCTCAGATCTGGTTGGCCTCGCTACGTGGCAATAACGGGCTCTACCCTGGCTCTTTCGTTTCTCAATTACACTGGTTTGGCAATTGTTGGATATACTGCCGTTATACTTGCCGTTATTTCTCTCGCGCCTTTCATATTGATGTCTCTTATTGCAATCCCCAAGATTCGTCCCCGTAGATGGCTCAGTTTAGGTCAAAAGGGAGTTAAGAAGGATTGGACTTTATTCTTCAACACTCTGTTCTGGAACTTGAATTTCTGGGATAATGTTAGTACTTTAGCAGGAGAAGTGGACAAACCTCAGAAAGCGTTCCCCATGGCTCTTTTGATTGCAGTGATCTTCACTTGCCTTTCTTATCTGATCCCACTCATCGCTGTCACTGGATCCATTCCTTTAGATCAGACTCAATGGGTAACTGGGTTTCATGCTCGAGCCGCGGAAATGATTGCCGGTAAATGGCTGAAATATTGGATTGAAGTTGGTGCAGCCTTGTCGGCGATTGGGCTGTTCGAAGCGCAACTAAGCAGTTGTTCTTATCAATGTTTGGGTATGGTAGATATCGGAGTCCTGCCCAACTTTTTCGGCGCTCGATCTAAATGGTTCCATACACCCTGGGTGGGAATTTTGATTTCAACCTTGATAGCACTCGGAGTTTCATACATGAGTTTCCAAGACATCGTTTCCTCTGCGAATTTATTGTACAGTTTGGGCATGTTATTGGAGTTTGCTTCGTTTCTTTGGCTGCGATGGAAGTCGCCTATGATTGATCGGCCGTTTCGGGTTCCCATGAAGCTACCATTACTGGTGATTATGTGCTTGGTACCATCTGCGTTTTTGATGTTGATAATAGTTATTGCTACCAGGACTGTTTATTTGGTTAGTGGTGTCATGACTGTTGCGGGGATTGGTTTTTTCTTTCTCATGAACTTGTGCAAGTCAAAGAACTGGATTGAGTTCAACGTCAGCAAGGTTGATGAAGATCGTCCTGATCGTGAAACTGGTGTTTAGTGATGTGATTATGATTTATAGCATGGTATACATGATAATTTCATCTTGCATATGAATTGTAGGCGTTTAAATGTATTTTAATCTTTCATTTAATGACGTCATGAAATTTTTTTCTTGAGTGTACTTCAAATAACTGTTAGTTTATTATGCAGTCAATCAGTCTGTGTGCGTATCAAAGTGAAACCTTATACATACATACATATATATATATATATAAACATTCTTTTACTCTGATTTTGAAATTATCCTCAAGCATCGATCATATCTAAGTATGAGGCGTGAGGCCCGAGATCATTTGGGATTAAAGGTCCCAAACGAGTAGAGACCAAGCCAGCCTGGTGACACCCCAAGACCGAGCCTTGATCACGATTAATGGGCGATTGAGATTTGTTCACGTTTTCTTCCTTGGTCGAGAGTCGAAACTGTCTTGTCGTCACTAAAATATTTGTGGCTCGTCTCTGTCTTCAATGAGTAATGACTCAAAACGTGGTGTTGTTACTTGTCAGAAAGAAAGGTAAAGTATTGTTTATCAGGAAAAGAAAAGTGAATATATTCAATTTATTGATGCAAGTTTTGGCCGTTACTTTCTTCAATGATTCAATCCGTTGTCGCAAAGAAAACTGTATATTATATGTAGTAGTTAGACATAAATAGCATAATCCCAATAAAAGCAAGGCTTGCAGCATGCCCAATATTGCCAATTGGGCACCAGGAGATAAAGACGCAGGAAGCCTTACACGAAAACTATTGAATTGATAAGTTTATCGAGGGGAAAATGAATCACGAACGCGTCACTGCCAATTGATAAGCCTTACTGCTGTGTGTGTGATTCCGTTTTTCCTTTTGATTTCAAGTGTTTTGCCTGTAGTACTCCTGTGGTAAGATTAGTACTGAATTAATTACAATAGGATTTCTAAAGCAGCATCAGCATGACGGTGAAGAGAATTTAAATTTGGATTCATGAGGCAGAACTGACCACGCCTAAGCTTCGCCAATAAAAAAAAAATAGTCACATGCATTTGATGCCTAAAACAAAAATGAAATCTTACTGTTATAGCTCAAGGATTCTGTTCAATCCTGATGTATTTATGGAACCAACAGCTAATAATAATAATAATAATAATGGATAGAATGCTACTATGCTGCCGCCTCATGTCATGCTATAAAGAATAATCAGATCTCTGTGACCCAGTAGTGCAAATTATGCACGTGGAAAAAACATTTGAAGACGCGATATATACGATATTCCAACATGTCAACTCCAACTATGCGGATATGGGAAGCCTCTTACGTAAATGCAAAAATTTGCTCATAGAATTGTCTCTGTCGTCTTCGTGCCATGTTCAATTACTCCGCGTGAATTATGATCGCTGACACCGCACGCCGGAATTTTGGACGAAGGTTCAGGCTACAGGGTCCTCAGTCCACACTATCGAGCAGCCAGTCCCCCAGGGCCCAGGAGATGAAGGCGGGGCACCTGGCCTACTAATTCTCTTCTCTCTTTTTAAAGATTGGCTAAATTACACGTAACTTTCTTAAATTTTAAATCATATATAAATAATCGACTATACATGCTAAAATTAATTATAAATTAAAAATTATATTTTTTTAAAAAATATCTAAATACCCCTTATTATGTGAAAATCAAATATGAACAAAAAAATAATTTGTAAAATAATTTATATGATTTTTAATAAATTTTTAGAAATGTATAATTGAAAAATTGAAGTGAAAAGTAGGTAGTATTAGCTTATAAGATAACCATGATTTTAGGTTTATAATTAATTTTAGCATGTATAAGAGTGGTTGGATTTTAAAAAAAAACATGATTTTAAGTTTATAATTAATTTTGGCATGTATAATAGGTTTTGAATATTTTTTTAAAAAATAGTTTTGAATTCACAATTAATTTTAACATGTAATATGGATATTTGGATATATTTTTACCAAATCATGGTTTTACCTAATTTTCAATTCTACCTTTTAATTTTTGGTCTTGAATTCTACTTTTCAATTGTAATTAAGATCAATATTATTAATCAATTTTGTAAATCAACTACTCCTTCCATTAAAAAATGTAAAGCATCTTTAATTGAATCTCACCTTTAATAAAGTAGTTATTTACTTTTTAACTAATCCTATCTTTTTATATTTACTCTCATTAAACATCTTATAATAAATATAAAGTCATTATCAATAGGGGTACTTAAAAAAAATAATAATTACATTTAAAAGACTAAAAATATCTTATATTTTTTAACATATAATTTTTCAAAAAAATACTTTACATTTTTTAACGGAGGGAGTATATACCACGTAATATAATCAATTATATTAATTAATTTTTTATAATTAATTATATTCAATTAAAATTTAAACACACCCAAATTTTCTCCGGCTAAGGCTGTTGTTATGAATGATAGCAAATTGATTTTTCAGCGACTACTGAAAAATTGCAAATTCCGAAGGCAATTTAACGAACTTGGGCCAAAAAATTTCTTTTGATCCACAAAGAGAAGAATAATGTTAAAAATATAAGAGCTTCTTTGTTCTCTATTTTTAAAAACTGTTTTTCACTTTTAAAAATAAAAAATTTTAAAATGTATTTGATTAAGTGTTTTTGATTTAATTGTTTACATTTTTTGTTTTTAAAAAACAAATAAATTCATTTCATTTTATTTTTTTAAAATACACATTTAATTATTAAAAATTACAATTATTTTGACCAATTTATATTATAAATTATTATTATTAATTGTTTATAATCATCACTATCATTTTACTACTATTAACTGTTTATAACTATTATTATTATTTTGTTTTTTAAATTAATATAATCAAATAAATTTTTATTATTTTTTTTTGAAAAATAATTTTAAAAAAATGTATTGTAATACAATTTTTTTTTGATAAATTGATCTAGTTTGGACACGGAAATTACACAATTGTTTTTATCATTTCAATACTTGATTTCATTTTATCCATTTTCATAACAATAAAAAAGAGGGTTAATATACAAAATTATCCCCGTGATACCATGCAATAGCTGTTGAGCACCTTAGATTAATAAAAAGAGCAATGTTATCCCTAATCTTTTAAAAAAAAGGGTAATATTGTTTAATTTTAATAGCCACCAATTGACCTTGGTTGACTCTGAGAAAAGTTATTTTAATTTTATAAAGTTTAGCCGGTTGTCAAATCATTTTTCCTTCTTTGGTTGTTAAAACATAGATTAATAAAATTAAAAATAATTTCTTTTTGGAACCAGCTTGATCGACAACATGAACAATAAAATCAACAACATCCCATATCGAGATAAACAAATGGTGATCGACTATCTACAACAAAATCCCAAATCCACTATAACAAAAACCCAGATCTATGTTAGATCTGAAACTACTTCTTCATCACTACTTCTTCATCATTGTCCATACTCACAAGCTTAATCAAGAAGAAAACTACGACAAAACCATTCTTCTTTCAATGCGAATATCATATAATTAAAATCTATAACTAAAAACCCATCTTAAAAGTTGATACCACAAGGACAATGACCCAAATAGCAATCAAATGTCCAAAAAAGCGTGAAAGGGCGGCAATAAAGAGAACTCATATAAAAGGAAAAACAAAGTAAAAGCCGAACTGGACCTACCACAAACAGTACACTAATTCCCAAACCAACATCAAAATAGTTTTGATGAACGTGAAACCAATTGCCAACTATAGAGTCAAAGGGCAAGAAAGAACAATTCGAACAAGGAGGAGGCTCGGAATATGGAGAACAATGGGAAGGGGCTTCGTTGCTAATGGAGATTCGAACCCGATGGACATTCCAGTCTTGCCGTTGAAGGAGGAACCCGTTGATTTGGACACCGCCACCCTATTATCTCCTCACCTTCCCTCCTCTCCGATCTCAACTTCTTCCATTCCTTTGCTCTCCAGCTGTCACAGCTCTATTAGGTTGTTGCAGTTCAGAGGCACCATAAGATTCATCTCCATGTTGGAATATTCATAAATATTATGAATTTATATTGATTAATTAAGTCCAAATAAATTAATCTTTATTATTTTATGTGGATCATGATAGGTGGATATAAGTAGGCTCAAGCAGGGGCCATAACCTTATAGTCATGTGTTATTTCCTATCTCATAACCGATTAAATTAAGAATGATGTAAAATTTTTAATTAATTAATTAATTAGTAAGGCGGTTATTTGATGTGATTCATATAATGTGATCAGTCAATAACTAATATATATTACTCCTTTTCCATTCTCTCCATTATCTATACACTCACTGAAAAATTATGATAATTTAGTAAGTTGTGTGTCTGTCTACACTCAAAATAATTGAGTTATCACAATTAGTCATAAATTTTTAAGTACGCATATTACTTTGTTTAAATCCTATAATTGATTTATATGAATTGAGATATTAAAGTTAACGCATAGAATCAAAACCTAGTTATAAATATTAATTTGTATATCTCAATTCATTATCTCATACATACGTTGATGAATTAATAAAAAATCCTTTCAAAGCGTGCTCGAATTTTATTAACATGCTCACATATTGATAATTCTCATTATATCCTTGTGTTTGAAAGTGAATATGTGATTTTGATTGAAATTCTAGTTAAATATAGCTATATTTGACTCCTCATATTTTTTTAAGCCATGTGAATCGATTACTGTAAGAGCGTCTCTCTCTCTCTCTCTGTCCCCTCTCCTTTCCTTTTATTCTTGTTGTCATCATTGTCGAAGGTGAGTCGCTGGTTTCTATCGTTGAAATTGCTAGAAATAGCATTGTTTGGTCATGTGAAGGTTACCATTGCCAAATTATTGGAAGCAGTTTGCTCGTCAAAAATCAAAGCTGTCGATGTGCTGTTGGTGCTTTTGTTGTAGAAGTTGCTAGGAATGGCGTTGCTTGGAGGTTGCGAAGAGGTTCTAGTTTCTTTTTTGGAGATTCTCCTCTACTTGACATCATCGCTGGAGTTGTCGAAGAAGGGCTCTGTGTCGTGGTCCACGCCTCTACTCTTGGTCACCAGCGTCGTCCCCCCTTCTCATCATGGTCTGTGCCTCTACTCTTGGTCACCGGCGTAACTCTGGCTTTTGTGGTAAGCGATTGCAGAGACCCAGAAATCG